AAAATGTTACCAGGAAATTCAGAAAAGATTCGACAGTGGAATATTTATACGATAAGAAATTATTTCAACAAAAAATTTTTTCTCAATCTATTGCAATTCGGAGAAAACTATAACTATTGGTCTGTTAAAAATTTGAGGTTAGATTTTCGTTCGAAAAATTAAAGTTTGTTTAAAGAAAACATTCTAGGCCCTTGTTAAAATGTTACCAGGAAATTACAGATATAACTGTTAATCTTTTAAAAATTCGAGGTTAGCTTTTTGTTCGAAAAGTTGTAGCTTGTTTAAAGAAAACATTCTAGATCCTCGCCCTAAGAAATTCAAGGAAGATTCTATTTCGAAACAGATCGACTCAGAAAATGATTCGATCATCGTGTACACTTTCGGCGTGGGCTATCGAAATCAAAATCAAAATCAAAATCAAAATCAAAAGGAATAAAAATGTCAGACGGAACGAACCGCGCGAAGCGGAGAATTCAAGAGTGAAAATCATCAGTTCCTCGGCGCTTATTGTTAGCAACGCGGTTGGTCGCGCAGGCTCGAGCCGTGCAGCGACAAATCGCGCGTCTTGGCACCAGCGTGCAAGACATAATTCTTGGGGATGATTCACGGTCGACTGGACAGAAGGATTTCTGGTGGCCGCGATGCCTGGACGCTGGCCACTGGCATCGTCCTCGGCCCGCTAATGCAATAACGCTTCGCTACGTGGATAAATCAACCCGGCCGAATCGTTCCACCCAGTCCTCTGCCATCTAATCGTGTTACCCCTCTCGTCTCTCGGGCCCCATTACTATCTATCTACCTACTCCTTCCCCTGCCGCTGCGTCACGATACTCTTTCTTCAAGGTTTCTTTCGTTCCTCTTCTCCCCTCCTTTTTCATCCCCCTCCTTTTTTCCCTTCTTCGTCATTTTACACTTTACGCCTCTCTCCACTTTACCCCCTCCCCGAAAACTTTTCGGCGGTGGAACTCCATTCCGTGCATTGGAAACGAATTCGTTCATTGCTCGATGAACAATTGAATCTTTCCTTTCAACTTTCTGAAGCAACTCTCGATGGTAAAATTCCAGATTCGGTAAGTTTCAAAGTTTATAATATTAAGTATCTGATAGTTTGTCCAACCTGTCTACGTGTATAAAAGGATCAAGATTTTTTGGGAAGGTCAAAGTAGCGCTAATGTATTTTAACTGTGGAACTTTGGAAGCGCGCGCGTATCGCAGGTAAATCAAGCGGATGAATCAGTTGGAAAGGCGGCGTGGCGCGGCGCAGCGTCGCGTAATCGCGTTAGCCGGGATTCATTCTGGACGCTCTCGAGGGCGTCGTTATTGTCCTATCCGTACGCGTTCGGTCGCGCAGTTGCGAAACCGTTGGCACCAGCTCGCTCGATACCAGGCATCTGATTAAAAAACAAAACGACTACCCCCGGTATTGCTCGACGACTCGGTTTTCAAACTATAATTTCACCGGGGTCGCCACTCTATCCGATCTAACCGATCTCTCCTCCCTTGAAATGGTAATGAAAGATTGCTTTCCGATAATCGATAAAGCAGAACATTAAAGACTAGAAAGATTACGAGATCAAAAGGTCGGCCGTACGAAGACACCGATCCCTCCAGAAACGGGACTCGCGTCTAATCGCGTTGGGCACGAACGATCGACTCGGTCCCTCGAGAGACGATGATCAATTTAGCCCGACGAATTGTCACCCGACGCAGATTTACGCGAGGCAATGACCCTCGGCACGGTTCCCTCGGCCGAGAATGAAATAAACCCCCGTGTTTCGAACAACGAAATGAATTTCCACGGTGCGCAAGAGGAAAGAAAGCGGAGGGTTAGAAGCGGAAAAGTGGAAAAAGACCGTTTCGCCGCATATTTTAATTCCGCGTTTAAAGAAGTTCTTTCTTCCTTGCTGGTAAATTGGCCGTCGTTTGTCTACCGCTAAGGGGCACCGCGGCCTTCCAACGGGGTGAGAAGCTCCCCTGATAGCGAGCAAGTGCCAGCACCCTCGTTGTCCCCTCCCCCAACCCCCGAGGAAGCGATTCTGCTATTTACGCCGACGTACATTTGTACGTAGAAACGTCCTCCCTTCCCGAGTATTAATACGATCTTGATCGATCTCGTCGTTAATGGTATTGATATTCGAGTCTGATTAGGGCAGGGTGAAACGATGGCTCGATAAACGTAACGCTATCACTCTGTTACGTAACGATGTATTCCGAATACTCTCACTTCGATTAGCTTAACCTCTTGCGCTGGAATGACGCACACGTCGACAACTTTTAGTCCCAAAATTGCAATATTTTCTCAGTTTTTCAAGTATATTTAAATACAACCGAGGCAAAACAAAAAATAAATTTATTACTTTGGAATAATTTCTTGATATTAATAATAGTAAGAAGTATTAATACTTCTCAGTATTATTGTATTTGGTCACTCGTTATGGTCGGTGAATCAGTTGCCAGCGCGAGAGGTTAACCATGCGCGTCGAGAATCTTTTGTCCCGAAATTTGCAATATTTTCTCCAAGTTTTAAATATATTTGAATATAACCTAGACAAAATAACAAATAATAAATTCATTACTTTTCAGTAATGATTTCTATCCAGTGATATCATACCGACGAATTCAAAAAGAAAGCGGCGAATTACTGTATACAGTTTGGTCACTCGTTATGGTCCGTGAATCAGTTGCCAGCGTGAGAGGTTAACCATGCGCGTCGAGAATCTTTTGTCCCGAAATTTGCAATATTTTCTCCAAGTTTTAAATATATTTGAATATAACCTAGACAAAATAACAAATAATAAATTCATTACTTTTCAGTAATGATTTCTATCCAGTGATATCATACCGACGAATTCAAAAAGAAAGCGGCGAATTACTGTATACAGTTTGGTCACTCGTTATGGTCCGTAAATCAGTTGTCAGCACAAGAGGTTAAAATCGTCGTGAACGTTCTCGCTGTGTCGCAAAGGTTCGCGATTTTCATTTCATTTTGAAACGATACTCTTCGGTATTAATGGTTAATCTCTATGGTGGGTGATACTTCTTGACTGATTAATGCTCGAAAATCGAATGGATAATGCTAATTGCCTGGAAAAGTCCAAATGGCGCCATCTTTCTATTCTACTCTGTCGCGTTATTCGCCTCTTGTTCTACTACGTCGCGCTACCTGTCTTCCTATTCTACTGTAACACGCTCGTCGCACTCGTCCACGATTTTCTCCCTTTATTTTATGTACAGGGTGATTCATGTAACTTGCACAGCTGAAGTAAGTTTTAGTGAAAAATAGTTTACAAAAAGTCGTATGGTTTCAAAGCAGGCAAAATATGGTGCAATTTTTTTTAACTGGACCATCTATATTTTTTCTAAATTATAAATCGGAAGAATGTTAAATTCATATATCCCGTGCCTGCACGTTTCATTGGAAAACATTTTCCAGATGACATGCCAAGCACTAAAGAAACCTCAAAAACTAAATTTGAACACGAAGGTGTTCGAAAAATAATATACGAAAAAAAGTAGAATTCTTCCACCGGAAGAATAAATTGAATTTCTAATTTCTTTTCATTTTCTCCAAATATTTGTTTCTTTTGTCGATAAGAAAATCACGAAAATCACGCTAAATAATATTAATAATAAATTAAATATAAATTAAATTTCTAATTCTCATTTTCTCCAAATAAAGCAAGAAAATTACGAACGCTCAAGTTTTGTAGAAAATACGTATATCGAAGTTGAACGATAAGATTATTGCTTTTCCAAGAGAAAGCAGCTTCTGTAGAGATGTATTCTGCGTTCGACGAATATAATCGTCGTCGCGTCGTTTGAAAAGCGGCCACGACTAAGCCTTCTAAGAGTAATTAAAAAAGATCCGATTCGACGAGTCGAATAGATCGAGATGCTTCGTCGTCGTCGGAATCTTGTTGGGGATAACGAGGGAACGATCGAAAACCGCGGTAACAAATCGGTCGGTAGACCGGCAACTGCGATATAACGATGCTGCGAAAGCCAGCGACCGTCATCAATTATCGGCGTGCCCTTCGTCGAAAAGTCGACGAGTCGAAAGCGCAGAATAATCACGCGGGTAATGAAAATGGATCGCCGCGGTCTCGCGGCCCCTTATGGCTCGTCACGATTTATCGTCGTGTAATATCGTTAACTCTGTGCAGACGTGCCTCCATCTTCTGGATCCGATTTCCAGCTACACGTTCGATCGCGACGATCGCAATTTTCATCCCATTGAAAATTTTGGTAATCATCGTTTTTTTCTGTTTTCGCGTTTAATCATCGGATCGGGATAATTCGCGATAAAATTTTGCAATCTCGCGGCTGATGGCTCGAATACAATGGCGAAAATGATACACGACGACGAGAACCACGACCTGGCCGGAGCCGGTTAAATCCGAAATGTTTATAATCCGACTTGGAGCGCGTAGTAGGATAATCAATCGGTTAACCGACAAGCCATGAACGCGTAATGAGCAACAATTCGGTTAGTCGAGCTCGAATAAATTATTCAAATTGCACACCGTCGATTAACTCGATCGCCGGCCGATTCTATTTCCATTTCCCGGCGACCGTCGGGAAAAGAACGCGTTCAAACGTGGTCCGGCTAAGTAAACCGAGAACGATGAACCTTTCGGTAAAACGATTAACGCTCGTCGAGTCGATCGAATTTCGTCCTCCCTTTAGCCATCAGTCGATTTCGAAACAGGCACGTTTCTCATATTTCTTTTTTTTTTTTTTTTTCTTTTTCACGAGATACACGTCGTCGTGGACATGCGATTTTTGGTCAAACGACCAGGCTCGAAAAGTTCTTGGCAAACTTGGATGACAGAAGAAGCCAGTTGGTTGATGAATGAACGATCGTGCGAGATACGACGATTTACGCGGAGGGCGAGAGCATGCATCTGACCATGATACGTGAAATAATAATGGCAGTGATTGCGAGAAAACTCGGCTGCCGCGGGCGGAAGCTCGGTCTGTAGGAGCTCGAGGACGAGCATGAGGTCGAGCAGTGGGGGAGGTTTAAGGGGGTGATGGTGGTGGTGGTGGTGGTGGTGGCGGTGGCGGTGAGGAGGGATTCGGTGAGAAGCGAATGGACCAAGGGATGCAAGAGGAAAGACGCTCTGCCTCTACACCCCCACCAAATATATCATCGCCTGGCAGTTATGTGTGTCATGAATTTTAGATTATCCTTGGATTAGATTAAGGGGCGGGGGTAGAAAGTGCAGTAGAGAGGCAGCCAAGCAGCCCCTTGGTCCGACCGAGTCTCTCTCTCTCAGTGCCGTAGCAGGCTAGCCGCGTGAATTATTTTCCGCTCTCCTCCACACTGCTCCACGATTGATTTCCAGCATAGCTTCTCCCTTGTTTATTTTCTCCGTTGAAATAGCTGAACCCATAGGATGAGCTGATCCTTCGTTCCTCGAGTTTGTCTCA